GAGGTGCGTCAGATGGTCCTAGAAGGAAAGAACTCTTCCGCAATAGATACATTATTCACCCGTCATAGGTTACACTAGTTAGGACTTGTGCTCCGTATTCCAGAAGACCGTTCACCTCGCAGAGCTCTTTTCATCCGGCCCTGTTCTGAGTGGGAATGACCAAGAGGTGAACAGTGTATGACCTGACAACGAAATGTGAAAACGCTAACCAGTAAACTTAGTCGCCTGGATGGGGACCTAGGGACCCTAATCAGCAATAGTTCATGACACTGGCAGAGATAGCACGATCGCGCAGTCGGTGGCACCCTCGCATAAAAAAGCTTTCGCCTTCAATGCGTGGCTACAGAGCAGCTTTTTCCAACATTCGATATCTATGGCGCCAATGTGAAGTCAGTCTGTCCGTCGAGGGCAGAGTTTACGAAGCCAGTTCTGGTGGGAACACCGGGTTAGAAGTATTGAGGTGCGTCAGATGGTCCTAGAAGGAAAGAACTCTTCCGCAATAGATACATTATTCACCCGTCATAGGTTACACTAGTTAGGACTTGTGCTCCGTATTCCAGAAGACCGTTCACCTCGCAGAGCTCTTTTCATCCGGCCCTGTTCTGAGTGGGAATGACCAAGAGGTGAACAGTGTATGACCTGACAACGAAATGTGAAAACGCTAACCAGTAAACTTAGTCGCCTGGATGGGGACCTAGGGACCCTAATCAGCAATAGTTCATGACACTGGCAGAGATAGCACGATCGCGCAGTCGGTGGCACCCTCGCATAAAAAAGCTTTCGCCTTCAATGCGTGGCTACTCAGTTCATGAACTAACTGAACATGCTATCGTCTCCAAGGCTTGGCTGTATATCCCACACCCACTCTCCGGTGATGGAAACGGTAGCACCTGGAACCACTGTGCCTATGTTACACAGTTTATAGCTGATAAATTGAGTGGTTGGTTCGCTGACTTTCTTGTTGTCAGTTTCTATCCTGATTGCCTGAATAAGTGTCTGGTGGTGTAGGCACCTTGAAATGATCATTGTAAGCTAGCACTAAGTCCGTTCACCGTCCACGTTTTTTCGTTTCTTTAAGTTAAAGCATTCAAATAAAGTATGATTATGTGGTAGTGACGACTCATTGCTGAACACTGTGTCGGTGATGATGGTGCCGAGTGGAACGATTTGCTGAAACTTTTAAAAGAGACTCAGGAGAGGGGATAGCACGCTTAAAATCGCCTCGCATGGTCGAATCCTGAAACGTCGAACAGTATTTCGCTAGACGCATACGTGACGAATAGGAATATCCCCCCACCTGCCAATGTTTGTTCAACTCCGATCACTAAGAATCAAGCCCTAACCGAACAGTTACCTACCATAACTCCTTTGCATTTTTTCCTCCTGTGATTCCGGTGTCACCGCAGTTTTTATTGTGATCGCTGAAAATCCGTCACATGGTGTTGTATAGAGTTTAATTAGCTTATCTAATTTGGCTTGTGATCGGTCAGCAGGTCTTGCGAATGGATTAAAAATGTATTAGAATAGGATGCGGGCCTGTGTCGTGCGTCACATACGAAATGCGACTGGGTACACACTTTTCTGTTTGGCTTTCCTCTACAAAGCAGCCACGCCATTCGTCTCGTGTGCAGTATGTAAATGACTCGGTCATCTTTTGTTGGTGTTTTGTCGATGATTTTGAACGTCCTTCAAAAATCAGGCCTTTTCAAACACATTGTGCCAGATACTCTGACCATATATCTAACTAGAAGGCAGGCCGTTTCCGTCACAGTACTTTAGAAAGAGCGGGGTATATGTCTCAAGGACTCCAAAGCATTTTGTACCTTGTCTGGCTTCGTTCACGAGCACACGTTTGGGTCAGAAATGAAAATTGGTGAAGGTGGTGAACAACCAAGGCGGAAACATTTGCGGACACTGATTCCAGCTTAGCTTATGTGGGTCTGTTACGACGTCCTGATGGAAACCAAAGCATGCTAATATTGGATAACCCAAAATACTTTCCGCCGTGATACAGAAACAGGACCGGTAGCATACTAGCGATTATATCAAGCTAATCATCTTTGTTCTATCTGGGTTCTTTCTCGTTTTTTCATTTGATATAAAGCCTTCTGTGTTGTGAGACTTCGTAGGAGTTAGAGGAAGACCAAGGAATCCACAAACATCTGTAAACTTCCGTTTGACCCAAATATCATGCAAGTGAAATCACCAAGGACCACAATGACGCACCTGTCTCCGGCCATCACGAGCGCTTTGATAGCTGTACCGGATATCTTAACAGTGAATCAACTGCCCGTCCTCTACCCTTCAGTCGGATTACCAACTAACAGCGAGAAGTTGGCTACTGAGTGCGGAACCTCCCTTGTTGTTGGAGGTATGTCGGTTTTTCTATTCACTCAGGCATCACCCAGCCTCACCCATGACCTGCTCCGTCCAAGAATGTCATCGAATTCATTACACGGCAGGTGGTTAGGCGCAATAATTTCGATAATTACTTGGGTTTCAGTCTGATTACCATTGTGACAGTAACCCGTCTTCCTTTCGCAACCGCTGATCAGACCACAATAAAAATGTTTCCAGCCCACATTTTTCTCAAAAGTACACCTCTCTGGTATTATAAATAAATTACAACCTTAATGTTGTACGACGATTTCCACTGCTGATTAGTCTGCCCCTTCAAGCCGAAAAAAAAACAATCACAATTTTTTTGAATACGGCACCCAGTTTCTTCCTCTGACTGCAGGTGCCTCGGAGCAATTTTGGGTTCCTCGAGAGTTGCCATGTTGATGGTGGGAGTTTCGCTTCAGTTTAGTTTTTCAGCCGCAAACCATCCACCGTATTATAATGGTACTAACTGTTACAGCGGATACGTGTAAGAAGGAATTGATAGCCAGACCCTAGAGGTGATAGCTCGGTGATGAAAAAGCCTTTAAAATATTACCCAGCAACACCCGATGAACTGCTCGTTGTTGATCAGCGTCGCCGCTGATGCTGTGCTGATTTAACTGCTAGAAGGTATTCAACCCTCGGTTTTCAAACTGTCGCTGGAGCAGCTTGATCAACCTAGGAAGTATAGACTAGCCAGCAAATAGTTGAATTGTCATTCGATTTTCCCCCCATTTAGCCTGACAACGACTGTTTGTCCGGCCTACGCTAGCCACGTATCTTTGCTAACCCTCTTCGAAGTGATACCGATATCAAAGGTGATTCTCGGTCGTCTATTCTGTTTGCATCAATTGTCTCATCATACCCGAGTGACAGTTTCTCTCGACTAATCTACGACACGCACTAACTAACTAGAAAGTAACGAGTGGTGTCACTAATTCATCGAGTTTTGAACGGAAGGTACATTCGTGCATTTGCATGTCTGTGCAACACATCCATCGGTTATCTCGATAACTGGAATAAGGCTTGGATTCCGAAAGGGGATGCGCTGCGCTGCACGCACGCGAGAATTTTTCATCCTTTAGGATACCGTAATTTTATATTGGAAGACCATAAAATTACCATCTGGATACTTCAAAAATGAGTTACATGCACGTTGAAAACACACCCGCGATGCCTTCAACTTAACCCTTGTACGGCTCACTATGACATCGAGGGATTTTAAGTTGATTTTAAATTGGTATAGCACATGGTAAGCATTGCATCTCATCTTGTGATTCTGCCATAGTGTGTCTGTCACCATGGTTTATATAGTTGTGATGAGTAAACAAAGCTGTTGCTCTGCTTGTCATGTCGGTGACAAATCAGGCTAACCGATACTCCGCATCCTCGCAGGCTTGCCGAGGGCTCGGAACCACCCACCATGTAAACTTATTGTGACAATTGGACGTTTAGACCCTCCGCACATTCCTTCTAATCAAAAGTTTGGTCTCTAGAAAACCGAGAGTGTTTTCTCTTCTGATAGTACATCTCTTCCCATTAGGTTGTTTTTGAAACACATAAATATGGACTCCTATGGCCAAAGTCGACGTCATTGCTATGGCTATCGGAGCCGTCTGAGATAACACCATACTAGTCTCGCGCTAGTCTGTTCTTATCACCTCATTCGCCGCGGAGCTATCAAACCGATATACTAGTGCAGTGCTTCTGCGTGAAAAGTAGTGGTACTTGCAGGCTACATGGTTGTGCTAGCATAGAGACACCGGGACAACCTGTTTGCTGTAATAGTTCATCCTTTTCATAACAGCTGGTGTTGAGTTTAGTATATCCAGTTTACTGTCGTTTGATACATTCTAACCATCGTTAGTGGTGCGGTTACTTTAGTGACTTGTGTTTGATAAGAGATGGAGTGCGGCGACAATCAGAGTAAGAACGGAAAAGACTGAGGGCCCAGAAGCTAGGCTTTATTCATCCAAAACTTTCCACTGCAAGCTGAGACGAGGAAAAGTGATCTAGCAATGAACGATGACCCCCTTTGAGAAGAAGAGAGCAAATATAAAACCATAACATTCTATGAATTTAATGAAGAGGCAGAAAACCGAACTACTTTCAACCGGTAACAAGCGACTTTTTAAAATGTATCCTGGTCCTTTTTTATTTCCAGTCTAAGTTTTTTTTGGAACGTATTGGTTAATCAACCATTAGTCTGAGGTTGAAAGTTAAACTTACCATTTGGTTTTTTGTGATCATTTTTCTGCTCGTCTTCTACTATACATCTTCTGGAGACTTGTAAAAGTTGAAATTTGGTGAGTAGAGGTCTTTTTGCGCCACCTGTTTGCCTGCCAACTTCAAGGTTTGCTGATTCAAATTAGGCATTTATGCTTGAAAAACGGGTAATGCTCCACAACATAGTTGTGTTGTGGGAGTGTATATTCTAGCTTGACGTGTCGTGAAAGCGTGCAAGCTGCAAACTTGTAACTGGTATTCTGGCTGTACTGCATTTTTTTGCATAGTTTGCATTGTGATCATAAATTTTTCGAATTAAATATGCTTCTTCGCGTCCTACTGTTGAGTATCGCTTGTTTTTCACCCTGGTTCATTTGTTCCATATTCTATAGATCTCCAGTTAGGCAAGCCGGAGTTCCACTGGTGACTCGCATTGCTTCCCTGTCATACAAAGCCACCAATGAGCCATTTTTGCAATACAAACGTGGTAGTGCCGAGAGACAACAGCTGGATTCAACTATGCAGTCTATGTTATCTCAAGCACCTTTTGAAGTGCCCTTATGTATTGGCGCAGAAGAACTGACGTCATCAGAAGCTAAGAAGCAAGTCCTGGTACGTTTTCTGTGTCTACCGTCGAGTAATCTGCAACGTTATTTCTAGCCCTTTGACCACGGACGCACATTAGCCAACTACTACTATGCAACCGAACAGCAAATTGACCAAGCTATTGCGGTTGCCTTGAAAGCTCGACACTCCTGGTCTCGCACCAGTTTTGATGAACGTGCTGGCATATTTCTCAAAGCCGCTGATATAATCAGTGGTAAAAGACGTTGTGAAATTTTGGGCTCTACCATCCTCGGTCAAGTAATCAGCCACGTGATTATTGCTAACCGTTCAGGCAAAAACCATTTTCCAAGCGGAGATTGATGCGGCTGCCGAACTCGCCGATTTCTTACGCTTCAACGTTCAGTTCGCCTCGGTTTGTTTTCTGGTTCCATATGTGGTTATTGATTCTTACACTTTAGGAAGCACTCAAATATCAGCCAATCAGCACACCCGATGCACAAAATCGGGTGGTATACCGTCCGAATGAGGTAAGTGGGTTGAGAGTGGGTGATTTATGCGCATTGTCTTTTGTAGGGATTTTGGGCATCCATTCCACCCTTCAACTTCACTGCGATTGGTGGTAACCTGGCCAGCGCCCCAGCACTAATGGGAAACGTGGTTTTGTGGAAACCGTCCGACACAGCGGTTTATTCAAACTATGTAGTTTACCGGTTAGTTCTTTCTTGCATCAGCTTGTGGTTTTCACTGTTTCAAACACGGTTTTCACGCTAGATAATTATGGTGGAATGCCGGAGAATTCTTTCTTACCCCATAACACAATCAGCATTGCGCTTCCCACGAATGTCGAAGGAGGTCCGGACCCGAAATTTTCCGGATGGTTGTTGAACACTTAGTCAGCCAGTGGTAGTCGGTTACCAGTATTTCAAACCCGTACTTCGACCGCGCAGATTCAACTGGGTTGGATTCCGCCTTGATTACCTTTCCGATTGACGTGTTCAGCAGTTTTATGCAATACTGATCACAGATGTCCATATCTGATTCATGTCACAAGAGCCGCTTTAACAGCGTCCTTTTTCGTTGAATTCTGTCCTATGGCCATGAATGATTACCCAGGAGGTCGACAATTAATGTGTTCGCACCAGGTACGGGTTTTATACATTGTTTTTTATTCGCACTTTCAAAGAGCGAACATAACGGGACCTGGAAGAATAGTTCGTTGCCTAAGTGCAGCTGCTCCTAACTGCCGTTCACTTTCCGCAACTTTGCAGTGGATAACTACTAGTGTATCAGGTGATCTGATTTTGTGTGTAGAACGCAGAACTTAGAGCACAGCAGTTCGCTTCAGGTAACCAGAAAGGGCATTTAAAGGTGGACGGAAACGTGGAAATGGCATTTAAAGGTGGACGGAAACTTACGAAGTGAAACAAATAGTTTAGTTTTGTGTCATTCACGCTTGACTGACATATCGGCAGTCGGTTAGACCAAGTTGACCGAGCTGATTACAGCAGCGTTCGTGCATCATTTATCCGAAGTGAGACGAGTTCCGAGGATGAAGCACTCATCAACGCAGTGATCTTGGGACGGACATATCTAAGACACCCGCACAGTAAATGAAGTTCAGCAGTTTCTTTGACACCAGGAACAAGTAAAACTCCCACACTGCTTAATTGATGATGCCACATATATTCTCGTATCTCGCTGGCGACGAACTGGAGCACATCGGTTTATCATTACAACGGAGGCCCAACCTTACAACGTTATTCTGGAGAAACATGCAACCATATCGCGAAAAACGACGCTTGACAAAAGGCTGCTAACTCTATAGTTTCGGAAGTCATCGCGAATCGGCCAAATAACTCAAGAACACTAATCGAATCAGCATCTCCTTCCATAGTTCAGAGGTGCTCAGAATGGATATGAGAGAGGAGTTGTCACACCGATACTCTTCCATGAAAATAAAAATGCCAGGCAACAACGCACTCCCTCGCCGTGTGCTCTGCACTAGGCACAAGCTCTGTCTCAACGAAGAATTTGTGGTCATTTGTGGAATTCCAGCTAATCGGCGGAAAGTTGTTTGTTAGCTGGTCCTTAACGTTCCCTAGTTGACCGCGATCAGATTGATGCGCCTTACTGTGCTGAAAGGCGGCTACTTCGATGGGCACACTAGGACTTGTCACCGATCACCTTATCAATGAATATAAACAATTGCCACTTGGCTTGACACTCTGGTATTTTCGGGACTTTTCCATCGTTTCCCAGGTTTCCATTGACTCCTAGACGCTCACTATGGAATCATAGAACCTCGAGGAGACCAACGGACACACCAGTGTTTTGTCTCTATGTAATCAAGACCTCCAACCTCACCTATTCCATTCTATGTTGTAGCTTCTTGTCCCATTTTCCATATGAATGTTATAGCTTAACTTCCCTTTCATGTAAACAGAATTTTCCGTGAGGCTGGTCTACCCCCTGGCGTTATCAATTTCGTTCCTGCTGATGGGCCAACATTCGGGCGGGTGGTGACCAGACATGCGCAACTGGCTGGGGTGAATTTTACAGGCAGTACAAAGTGAGTTTAACTCGAATGTGTGGATAGGTGAGTGGATGGCACGTTTCAAACCAAACTAGAGTGCTGGCTTGATAGTTTATAGTACCAACCCTTTGTCTATTGTTACACACTTGTTTCTCGGGAAGAAACACATTGGGCCATATTAAGATACCTTCTGGGTGTGGGTAGTGAGAACGAACTGAACAGCTTTTGCGGAGTCCTGCCGTTATTTTTACCCCCAGGCAAGTTCTGCATACTCTACGCACACAGACTCAAATGACGGAAAACACCGGTATATCTGTGTTTGTGATAATTTTGGTGACGATTCTCAGGGTCCCTGCCTTGTATGCCAAACACCACTGTTGATGATTCATTTTTCTGTCACTGCCGAAAGCGTTTTTACTTACCCAGATGACTGCGGTTTTGATAAAGTACTGAGGGCATTCACCACATTTACGAAACCCGCGCAGTTCGCAGGCCAAAACATGCGCCGTTGTCAACCTAGAATGAGTCCCTCCAGAGTTTTATTACCATTGTTTTATAGGGAGATTCTGGATGGGACTGCATCAAGTGAGATAAACTAACGGACCTTCTTAATTATCAGTTGTCCGTTTTCCCACCTACCGCGTAATGCCTTGCGAACCTGTGTGAAATGCAGAAAATGAAGTTGTTTTTCCCGAAGAATCCACTCTGTAGGTGGAATGAATCCGTTGTTAATCAGGTCCCCGAAATGAACCACATTTTTAACGTAAACTCCGACTTTATGTTTGAATATCATGAACCTCTATACAGGTGTCCCCTCCAAGAATCAGTAAAGGCGTATGTGGAAATCTAAAAGCCTCTGAATAGACACTACTTCTTGTGAGTGTGATAAAGGCTTGCCTACGGTCTCCTACTGACTCCTCTTTGTTTGGGAAGTACCAGATGCACGTAACCCTCCAGTTTCAGTCGCTTAGTAAGCATAAACAGACTGGTTCTGCTCACTGGGTCTTACCATACCTTAGCTGCCATATGTACAATCTTCAAGTTGTTTTAGAACCGTTGAAAACGGATCACTAAGTCGAAGTTAATCAAACTTCATAACCACAGAGTGACATTTAGAGACCGAAAGACACACGACTTTGCGCACTCTATCAAAGAAACACATGAAAACAAGAGTATGGAAAGGTTTTGTCGAGCTAACGCTCGGAATCAGAATACACTGAGTAGATCTGGGTGAAACAGGAAGGGCGTCTATCCCACCTGACACATGATTACATAACTTTGTAACAGACTAACCCATGCAGTCACTCAAAAAAGATGACTGTTCTTTATTGAGCTGGTGAGCGGCAGCCTTCTGGAACACAAGCTCATCTAGGTGAATGTTGGACTAGTGGAATAGAGTTTCGAAAACCGTTCCATGTTCTCAGATGATAGGTCCCTGAATTTCAGTACATGCCATAACGGATAAAAACGACTTTTCCGACTACTGGCTCTTCTCAAGAGGGACCACTGGAATGATGAGATGGATGATGTCCTAACTCACTCCTGACCATTCTGGAATACAGTTGCGTGTCTGAGTCTCTGTTGAAAGGCCACTACATTGGTTAGTATGCTTTGAGCAGCCTGCTTAACGCAGTTAAGCTGACAGACAAAATATGTATTGCATACGTTCTATGCATAGGGTTATATGGGGTTATCCGTGTCTGTAATAGCTGCGTAAGCGTCCTTCTGGTCCGCAGTCTGTAAAAAATATAAAAGCTGCGCTACTTCCAGTTTTCTTAGCCTATCTAAGAACATCAGACCATAATCGTAGGCTTTTCAATCAGGTGCATGAATCTTTGCATGCTGTCTCCGGCTTGTCTGGAAGTAGCATTGAACCCAGTAGAAGTGAAGTTTTCGTTAAACTGAAAGCAAAATGAGAGTCTCCTTGTGAAAAACTTCCCGCTTGATTTTAGAACGTTCCGGCACATTTTGAAAGAAATTGCCAATAATTTGACAAACTATCGTGGCTATCCACGTGCTATTGGGGGTAAGCGTAATCGTGAAACTTCTTCCCATGTCATTGTCGTTTTCCATATGCACTCTACTGTATCAGTCCGCTTGTGTTTCACAGATTCTTCCGCTTGTTTTTTGTAAGTCCGGAAAAAACTATACATTGTGTCCCATTGACTCGAATGCGATGCAGTTCCACTAGTATTTATTCTAGTAGTTATTCCTCACCCGCGTCTCGCTTTTTACACCTTGATGATTCCTGTTCTGTTCGCCCGATTGCCCTAAGGTTGCCTTTGCCGTTCCTGCAGTGATTATAGTCTCTCAATTAGTACTGCCGCTCTCAGCTCATCGGAACTTAAGGATGTAACAGCAACCTCTAGTACGTTCGGCTCAAAACAGTCTGAAACACCAAGAGCGGCATCCTCAAATGAATGGAATTTGCAGACGGGGTACACGTACTGTTAAAAGAACAAATTTCGTCCATGCCGCGTCATCATTGCCCAGTGTTTAAATATAGTAAAAGAGCTGTGTTTTTGAAACATGCATTTTCTGTTTTCATACATTATCAGTACAGGAGTACGTTGAGGATGGTTACTAACAATGCCCATCTACAAAAACGAGTGACTGTGGTCTGTATTACAAGGGTGACCGTAATCCGTAGAGGCTGGTAAATGAGTTGGTGTACCGCTGTCCTTCAGTTTTCGCTTATTGACTATATGAAAGCACATCTTGGTGTGACCGATAATGGAACACTCAGGAATATCCGACCACACTCACTTTTATCGTTTCTTGGAACTAGCATATCCCATGCTGGTTCGGTTTCGTGGTGTCATCATCCACCTACCTTCGATAAAGTCTCGTCTCGCCTAAACGACAAGCTCGAACGTTGGGCACGATTTGCCTGCTACTGGCACCGAAGGCACCCTTCTATGACAGTGATAGACCTTTCATGTTTCCCAAGGCCTAGACATTATGGCTGGTCTCTTATTCTGTCCTGGACTTTAGCATGCGTCAAATAAGTCGCAATTCTCAACAATCTGTTTGAGGTTCCTCCGACCACTGACGTACCACGATGCTCCAGTCTGTTGTCTGATACCTTGGTAATCACGTTGCGTTCAATTAACTCACTCCATATGGCTCCGTCACGTGTGTTGTGGACCACCAGTGCATATTGAGATCACGAGAGGTGTCCCCGGAAAATGCACTGTTACCAAGCGCCCAGCTCCCCACGGAATAACACTAATCCATTGGGGTAGTTTCTTGGCGACTCATGAGTCGGTCCCGGTAATATGCAGAATTGATATGTCTCATGAAAAGTGGCCATTGATACTGTCTGGAAACATCTTTAAACACACTCGGCCACTTTTATGACATGCAGTACAATTTACATACAATTTTCTATTCCGGGTAACACAGGATGATGAGTCAGCTGCTTCCAACCGTGGATGCAAATTTTGTTGTGGGCCGTACATTTACGGAGATTGAGTTGTGATAACCGGAGGTTCCGTGTGCTTACAGTACAGCGTTTATGAGCGCAATCGTAACTCAGCAAGGTATATCAAGAGTCTCGTTAAAAGTTGAAAACGAGCTCTGACATGATCACCGGCAACTCTAGCATTCGCTACTGGCTACGCTCACAGTATTCATACACTAGAGATACTGTGAGTTAGAAAATCCGTCATCACTTTGAACCGCGCGGCGACTATGCATCAAAGAGGTGACATATATACAGTGGCTTTAATTTTTGGAGGACGACTGCATTCAAACGCAGTTATCTGATTTCAATCTCCACGTATCTTATCGAAATGCACTTATCCAATATACTTATCCATGGCATCGGGAATCATGTGGTTTTCAGTTTCTTATGAAGCTACAGGTCTCCGTTCGTTCAATTGTGTGGTGCTTAGGATGGTAGAAGAATCGAGATCTAACAGCGCGCGAAACGGGACACTCAACAGGTCGGCTGGTAAGCCCCGCTAAACGTCATAACCAGTTGGAACTGCTATAATGGCGACGATCATTGCAGCTATACCCTAAGCGACTGTGCTCATCACAATCGTTGGTCAGTCATGTTTCCTCCATGGTACCCACCAGGTGATTTGTATGCTGGTTTAGGTACTATCTGAAGAGGTACTTTGCGTTGATGGGACACTGCGGCTGTGTACTATCCTTACGTACTCTAAAATTCAATATGATTCACGCGCTTATGTCTCGTCACAAATATCTCCCACTCAGTGCTTTGTGGTGTGGCTTAGTGTAGCTTCAAAACTCTCAATATGATCTTCAAAACACACTGAAGAGTGACATTCTGTGTGCGAACGCTGTCTCTGAAGTCAGTGATGTCATAGAAAGGGCCGTCATACGCACTGTTTGAACCACGCAGCTTTTGTACACAGCTTTCTTTAGGTACTCCAGGAAACGAAAGGTAAAATCAGCGAGCTGTTTTAGTAGTTAGATATGTCAGAAAAAACGTCGTCGGATGGTTGACGGCCGCAACTGTCCCACAGGTGAAATTCGAATAAAAGTTTCTTGGAGACTTCACTTGAAAGTTTGAACGAATTTAAGTCATGGACACCGAGTTTCGTGCACTCTCAGGAGCTCTCAAACCTATTTGTGTCTCGATCTCTTTTGGATTAGTAGCTTGAAGCTCATATGCATGATGATTTTAGTGGATCCACAGACCCGATGGAGTCCCTTGTGGATATCCTTTCGCAGATTGTGGGGCACACAGTCTGCCTTAATGTCCCATTGTGAAGATATTCAATAAGGTTTCTTTTGTCTGTGATTTAGGCAATATGGGACGATTGTTCAAAATTCGCAGACAATCCACTATTGTTTTCGCCCTGTTTTCGCCTTGTCAAGTAGGTGTGGTCCTCGGAAGCCTAAACAACCAATCCCTGACTTGAATAGCACTTTGGTTGCATATCTTTACCGGCTTTGTCGGATTCACAACCTAGTGCGTCATTAGTTTAGTGGCTATATTGCTAGATACGTGCTCGTCAGAGAAACGACATTCGCGTGTCTTAATCCTTGAGTGGATAGACTAGTGTCCAATCGACCAACCAAATACACTTTTGTCGAGCTTCCATGCTTCACTACCGTAAGCTCATACCCTATTTGGAGAAGGAACCTTGTACCAAGTAAGACTTGCGGCGACAACTAGATCCCCTTCTGGTCTATTGTAGGCATGTCGACGTGTTTGTGCCTCGAAGCATTCAGTTGAACAGAGAACTCCAAGAGTAGCGTTTGCAACTGTCCACAGCCAGATATTGTACAGTCGGTTACGGAGTGGCTTACTTCGACTCCATTGTTGAAGGTAACTCACAGATACGCTGCCTAGACACTTGGCAATCGCATTTGTCCCACCAAGTCGTTGGTTGTTCTCTTTGCCCGCGCCTCTCCGAGTAGGCACGGAAAGCAGCAATACTGTGGCATATGTTCTCCCCTCACCGGATTCACTAATTTACTGTCAGGTTCCTGAAAATTCCTTTTGGCGTGACCGAGTCAAATTCGTGGCAGGCGGAAACTTTCACGCCCATTTTGCTTCCACAAAGAACTCCTGCATTTTTTAGACGGTAGCTGGGGTCACATTCACGAGCACTCGTTTCAAATGGTAAATGCCATTTACTTGACGATATTCTGTGATTCTTCTGATGGGTCTGGCTCCATTTCTTCTTCGATCCACACCATATACTCATACAAATTCATGGCGAAAATCCTAGTCGTATCCTTGTTACATGGCCAGCTGTAAATGTGAGTTAGTGACTTGAAGTACGCCACTGTAAGGCTAGATGCGTGGTTTGCTAAGCGACAACAGCACTCATTGTACCAAGGTCAAGGGCGATGAATCAACTAGATATTGATCACTTGCTTACAACTGTATGTAGATAGCTAACTGATCGCTTTCAACCCAATTGCTTGAAGCTTAGGAGCGTCTAACAACTTTCGCTGCGTTCTGAAATAAGAACACTCATGCACCTGGGTCTGAATAAGTTGTTGCGTATGCTACACATAAACTCTTTTGCCACTTGACCTCAAGAGGAAGTGCATTGGTCCATTGTGGTTAGAATGATGGACAATTAAGAATCCGCATACCTCCCCTCGGCTAGGCGGTAAGCCGGGCTTATTGCTGGCCCAAGGCAATGTGGCCCAATTGATCCTTCGTTTCTCACTCGTAGTACTTGCGAGCGATTGCTGGCAACTCATATTTCAAGAACAAATCGATCAGACCATGAAGTTTTCCGTAGTTGTAATAGCTGCTGCTGTCTCACTCATCTCTAACGACAACGGTGGATGACCAAAGATTGATTGGTTGTCCAAGCCTTGAGATAAGTGGGAAAGCACATTGCTGACCACGTTATCTATTGTGATTTTGGTCACTCGGTCGTCAACAGTTCCTTGCACGCTCTTTCGGTCCAGTTGAATTTACTCTCCACATATGGTCGGTTTCCGCATGAATTCCGTCAGCACGCAGATGGGGTTCATTATGTATTCTGCATAAGGTATCCAGAAACCTGTCGGTAAGCGTAAGGGAACGCTAAAATATCCATACGCATCTAATTCGCTTGGTGTTATCTACTGAGTCTTGCACTCTCAACATCCTTTTCATTTATCTTCTTCCCAGAATGTGGTGGTAAAAACTATCATTTTGTACACCCATCTGCCGATTTGGAAGCGGCCGCCGTGAGTACCATCCGCAGTGCTTTTGAATATTCCGGCCAGAAGTGCAGTGCATGTAGCCGTCTGTATGTACCAGTCTCTCTGTGGCCAAAACTGCGCAGCTTGCTACTCGAGCACCATCGCCAGCTAAAAGTCGGTTCACCCTTGGATGTGGATACATTCACTTCGGCGGTTATCGATCGTGCGGTAGGTTTTTTCTTCGACGAAAAAAGTTTTGTATGGGTTCTTTGAAGTCGTTTAATGTGACGTTTGTTTGTTGGTCGCTGAATCGCATGTACTGACAAGAACAAATGAATCATCCCGTTCCAACGTCACAGTGCCATGCTACGATTCGCAGAGAAATCAAAGAGTGATGTTATGTCGGTGACAGTAATCAGTAGTAGAGTGAAAACTTGCATATAAGAGTTGAGAAGACAGTCACACACCCTGGTATATTTACATACACCATAGTGATTGTTTACGTTCACAGTTGCAAGCAAGTGCTATCTTGGCACACCGGGAGCCACTTACTGGTCGTTGACTAGTTCACTCAGCAGTACTTTCAGACGAATTTTCGGTTCTCTTCGTTCAGCTGTCGCTGTGCCTAATTGCCTTGCCACTCGAAGGTTGCACGAGGGCTGGGATACTGCCAGGTTGCCCAAGCCTAAACAGAGGACGTCAAGAGGCAGGGTCTGGTTCGAACCACGGACCTTGTGGTCAGTGAATTCGCGCTCTAACCACTTGGACAATCTTTCAGGGACGTATTATTGGTTCTTCAAGTTAAGGTGAAGTTTTCACTTGAGTTTCTCCATGATGGAGTATAGGTTCTCCTAACTTAGTTGTAATGGATCAATGAACGACCACGGAACGGTTGCATGACGCTTGATAAGTTTCCGCCGGACATATCTGGTATTTCCTATCGATCAGGTGGTTTACAGTTGCACCTACCATGTGTCTCGCCTCTTCGGTTCCACTTCAAGATGGCAGATTCCCAGCTACTCTTTGAGATGAACACGAGTCGTATGGCACACACGGTTAAGGAACCATCATTTGGGTACACGTCATGTACACCAGATCCAACCCTTCTCACATTTACTCCCCTGCTACAGGTATCTGCGTGGAAACAAACTCAGCCTGTAAAGGGACTAATATTGTTGCTAGAACATGAGTTCACACCTTGCTGATGGTAAACGCACCGTCGTTCTCATCCGAAGAGTCTTGGACTCAATGAGACTCCATATAGTCCACTTCACTGCACTGAGGTATTCCGTAGACTTTCGGTTTTGACTATACATATGGACATCTTTTGCTGAATCCTAGCCATAAAAGATATTCCTTTATAGTCATGTTTATTGTAGTCCGAATCGACAGCACCCGATTGTAGGGTTGTAACCTCTGTTGGGATCTCACCATCGTGTGTGTCTCGAGGTCTGTGCACTAGTGCCATGTTCCCTGACTGCGATCGGTATTCTTCTAAGCCTCCATCGAGTTCAACCTTGGTTAGGTCACACTCGAATTCAGCGCTCTTGCAACACGTACTCTCGAGCCAATGAAAAATCCATCCAGCTGAACGTTTCATCGTTTTGTGGAGTTGTTCTAGTATTCAACTCGTTGATGAAACTGATAAGACTAGAAACAACAAGGATATCAATGAGAATTTAATCGTGTGTCAATCTTCACCAACCTGTTAATGTACAGTGAGCTCTTGGAGGATTTCTACAAACAGGTGTTTCGAGAGATACGAGTGCTGGGGATGTTAAAATAGCGTTCATAAGCGGGGTCTCACGGACAATTATCAACATACCTTGCCGTAAATTGACAATATAAAGCTATCAATTTCTTAATCCTTTTGTTCTTCCTTTCCTAAGAGGGGGGAAAAACTGAATTAATCCATCAGGCTTACAGGTCAGGATGGCAGTGGTATTTGCCAGCACACGTTGTGAACAGAGCAGCTCGCTTCACGTGAACTGTCTCCTCTGTCTATAAATTTATGTATTAATTTCAGGCTTTCGACAAAATCTCGGGCTACCTGAACCATGCCAAGTCCTGTCCAGATATCGAGGTGATTGCTGGTGGAGGCACAGACGACAAGACAGGCTATTTCATTGAACCGACTATCTTGCTCACGAAGAATCCCTTGGATAAAATCATGAAAGTGAGTGATTTTGATGCATCCTTTCACCTTTTGGGAGTATGTTTCGGATAACCAAATTACCAGTGTACTTTGTGCCTGGCCTCGTCAGTATCTTTTTCCCGAGGTTGCGTCGCTACTGTCTCACGTATGTCCCATAAACTATCGCGATACTGTCGAGTACACAAGGATAGCAGCATAGGTCGTCTGTAATCTGTGACTTCGATTTCAGGTTACTTTTTAGGATGCAGGCTGTCCGACCATATTTACTAACTATTAGTATTCGGTGCTAAGTAAAGCCGAACGGTACTTCATACAGCATAGCGAGATGGCCGAAGTGGTTAGAGCGCGGATTACTAACCTGAAGGTCCGCGGTTCGAATCCGACCTCCGCCACTCGACTTCCCCTGTCTAGGCTTGGGCAACCTGGCAGTATCCCAGCCCTCGTGCTCCCTTCGGGTGGCATGGCAGCTAGGCACCGAAAGGGTGCTACAGCTGAACGCTTTATCCTTTTTACAGCATAGCTCTCAGGTATCGGGCTTTCGCCACTGAACAGTGGATTTCATTTCTATAAAGTGGTGGTATGTGAACTAAGTAATCGGGTTACGATTACTTAGATTTAGAGTCTACAAGGTCTTTTCAACACCACCCATTTCGCTCGCCGTTTGGTTAGACCACTTCACTAAGTGCCCACAAGAAGCAAGTTCACAACCTTCAACGGTTGTCACTCTTGGTTTCCATGGCTAAGGGGTTGTTGATTGCCCAACATGTGACGCAGCTGAGCCGCTGTCAACAAATACCAGATATCGTATTTGTGCTGGCGTTCTAGCCAAATCCAAGGCCGTGTTTTCCTACATTCCCTGTAGACCCAGTTCATGTTACCTTCTGTTCACAGTACCCATTTCATCCTGACAGGGGAGAACTATATTGGGCAGGATACCGCTGTATCATTTCATTCCTACAGAGGCTCGTACAGGGTTCGAAACATGCAGACTGACAAAGGCTCAGCGGTAATCTGTGACGAAAGTGTGAAAGTGAGCTACGTCAAAATAGTCCAGCTCCAAGGTCGCAATCGTTATACCTGAATAGCTTCTACGTATATATGCAGAAATATACACGTAAATATATGGCACGGAGTAACAACCATTTGTTTGGCTGCAGCTGTAATGACCATTCCCTGTTCCTCATGCATGCATGACCGAGACTCCTATGAAGAACTGTTGAACAGGACTAGAACTGGTAAAACTAGCTTGCAAACGAAAGCTCCAACCGGTTGAGCTGACATACGATGTTCCTGGATGAAGTGTCCCCGACTCCACTCGCCAATGCTAAAGGACGCTGATAGACATGGCTGAATCACGTGGTCAGTGGCGCTGGTGTGTCATAGGTATCACCATTGCTAAGTTTTCCGCTTCATCACAGAACCAGAATAATCGTACATCACTTAACTGATAAGGCCATCGCCTCCAGACCATGGCTACACCTTTTCTGGTTTTCCACTTTTCGGTGAACGGGACTAGCAAGTGGAACCGGTGTACCCCAAGTACTTGGTTTATAGCCAATAAACTGAACTGGGTGATACCCATGTAGCGACTTGTTCAGTCAAAGTAATATCTCTCAGGATGATGTCGAACGTAGTTGAGGGTCACATGAAATTAGTCTCAAAATAGGTGAGGATTATTTGCCATTTAATTTAGCTTTCGTGAATCCAAACATATCATTGCGGCAAAAGAGGCATGCAAACAAAGGTACGAAAGAGCAAAGTTATTGTACTGTAGACCTCCACGGCTGGTCGATACAAATCCAGACCGAGTGTAGCCAGTAAGAAACAACGGAAGCAAGTTGTTGTGTGAACAAAGAATACCTTGGAAACTGACGAAAATAGACGTACCCAATACTGCCTGATGGCTCTCAGCCTAAAGACGACTGCATAGATCTGTCTGGCAGTCTCGAAAGATATGCTTATTCACTGTTGGACGCTCTATGCTTGTTTTATGAACTCGTAATGGAGAATGCAGCAATAGTATAGTTGCCTAATCACAGCAGTAGGCAAAGTTCGGCTGAGCTCCATAAGTATCTGAGCCAAAATTGACAAAAAAAGCTGGAAAAAAGAACAGGCTCTCCTCATCATCATTCACCACCTTCAAGACAATAAAATAAAGCTTGAATAAAGCTATATAATGGCGATAAGAAAGATAGGGGAGGGAGAACATCATCATCATCATCATCAAGGACAGCAACATCAGTGTTGCTACTGATGATTCCCTGCCGTACAACCATAAGTTTTGCCTAGTTATATATATATATATATATATATATATATATATAAGTAGTAGTGTGACTCACAGTTTTGTTTCTCATTTCCCTTCTTCCCTCCTCACCACCTCACGACCACTATCCATGTGTTGGACATCGCATTTTTGTATTTACGAACGCGGGTGGTGGCAGGTAAGTGCTCGGATAACCAAGGCGCAAGCTGCAATCACCAATCGGTGTCACTTACGGCCTCAGGAGCGAATTACCTCAGAACGAAGGGCCTTGCATACTTTAAGTGATCACTACTGCCTCTATAGCGTAGGTGTTACTTGGCTACAGCGAGTACGCAACGAAGTGTTGCATGAGCAGGTACTTGCTAATGCACCCGAATCATTAGAAACGGTACATTAGAGTTACCAGGTCAAAGTGGTTTGAGCATGTGTAACGTATGCCTAACCGCCATCTATCCAAGAAACGCTTTTTCTGTTCCAAGTGGTTGTTGGCCGAAGGGGGGACAAGCTGTGACATTGTATCGTGAAATGAAAGCGTCTACAGTCGCATTGAGTCCAGCGGGGTCTTCGTGTCCTGCTGTCTTGGGCCCATGTGACGCTGTATGCGGCTGGAAGCCCGGCAGCATACAACCAATCTGTGGCGCGCATGCTGTCATTTCTTAGCCGGACTACCTGAAAAAAGTTTACCCGTCGTCGCACGCTGTGTTTACTTCAGCTAGGTTCACAAAAGACGAGGAGTGAATCCAGCTGATGATGCCTCACTTCGACGTAAGGCTCGGGTATGTTTATTTTAATGCTGACCGAAGATATGGGTATCTTATGATCATCTCCCTTTAAGAAAAAAGGACTCCGAATTAATTCTTTACCTCTCCATTACTTACTGACTTAATAACTTACTGGTTAGGAGGTTCGTGCTTCGAATCCAAGCCTGACATCTCGACTACACCTGTCTAGGTCTGAGCAACCTGACAGTATCTCAGCCGTCATGTTTTCTTTTGGTGGTATTGCAGCTAGCTACCGAAAGGGTTCTACAGATGAACGACTCTGATTCTACACAAGAAGTTGCTCAGGCACTGGGTCCAGGTTAAGGTACTGTCGTTATCAGGGGTATTGATTGAAAAACAACGAGGCAAAGTTTTCTGCTGAAGTACGTCGAATGATTTTCAGAAAAGATAACCCGCTCACAATACATGAACTGATCATACTGTATAAGTTGGGCTAACCTGGTTATGTGCTCCGTACGCTAGTCGACCCATTCTTCGAAAACTTTTCGCACAACCATGTGAAGAGTGGAGACGAGCTAGGGCAGATCAACCAATCAATTGGCACTAAACTCAGCCGCGTCGGTTATCGCTATCTCCCTGGATAGGGATCTCAAGACTGTACATATCAGTGGTCCCTCGAAAAAATGAGCAGGAGATAGCTCCGTGTTTAAGACGCCAGCTTACGGACCGGAATGTCCGTGGTTCGAATCGGACATCAGCATCAATGATTGAACCTTGTCAGAAAAGGACCATCACGCACTTCAACGGTGCGCGTGGTTCCAAGCTGTTGTCTTCGCTGGGTAGCTTTACCTCTCGATCTTCCCACAGGGAACCCCGCTGGTACTTCTGTATTCGTGCACAATTACATTGCCCACCGCCTGCAATGCGCAGCAATCTACTCCTACCTCTCCAAATAATTGTGGCGGCTACAAAGACCGTACAGCGGACACGAGGTTTCTACAGCCACAGATGATGATAATGATATCGGTAGTCAATCACAACTCCTAAAGACCGTCGTGAATCTTACACGTCGGTGGGAGTGACCCACCTGACTTGAGGGGGTCGGCCCGGTTAGAGAACGTAGAAAGTAAGGCAACAAGGTCTCACTTCTAAGGCGACTGCACACAGCAGGTGCCTTTTGAGGAGCACCGAACTCTTCGGTTTTAAAAGTATTCCGGCCACACTGACTAATGTGCCGGCGATCATGATCAACTGTTGGGCGATCGGAATGCGTCGCTTTTAGGGCCAAGATTTCATAATCCCTTCTTCTGTAAATTTAGGCATCTGGTCGCCCTGACGGAAGTGCCTTACTGTCTTTACACTTCTACCGCAGAAGACAGTACGACTTTAGCTCCAGACCGCCTCTTAATACGATTTCTCGCAATGCGGGAACTCGCTGTTCTTCGTCGGGCTGCACCAATATGGCATTCCTCGCAGAGCTGAACCTTTAGTGACTGAGTTCCAGCCATTAAAACCCGTAGAATCGTTGGAGCACAGGAGACCGATCACCGCGACAACGTGGCAGTCTTGGGTCGGGATTACTTCACGGCAAATTCCACGCTCATCCCTCTCCCGAAGCTTTACCATCACCGCTTAATGGTGAGGGATGGTGATGAATTTCTGTGTACCAACTGGCCATCAGCTTACCGTTCCTTTTTATCCTCACCTCTGGTAGGTCTATGTTAGGCCCTATTCCTCTTAAATATTCATCCCCAGTAGAAGTTGTGAAAATTCAGTTTCACCCGCTCGGAGGCGCAACTCAGGCTCCCGGAAATGAGGTTATTCAAGAGCAAACCCAATCAGTACACTATGAACGACCGGAACGGAAGCTAAAAAGCCAGGCTGAAGAAGGTAGCTGGACTAACTAAATAATAATAATAATAATAATAATAATAATAATAATAATAATAATGTTTATTCCCAACTTGTGGGTGGCGTGCCGTCTGGCATGATCATAGTTT